ATCTATCTATCTATCTATCTATATTAATAATGTTCTGTCTATCTGTCTATCTATCTATCTATCTATCTATCTATCTACCTCAATAATGTTCTATCTGTCTATCTATCTATCTATCTATCTACCTACCTCAATAATGTTCTATCTATCTATCTACCTACCTCAATAATGTTCTATCTATCTATCTACCTACCTCAATAATGTTCTATCTATCTATCTATCTATCTACCTACCTACCTACCTACCTCAATAATGTTCTATCTATCTATCTATCTATATTAATAATGTTCTGTCTATCTGTCTATCTATCTATCTATCTATCTATCTAATGTTCTACCTACCAACCTTCCTATCAACTGACCGACCAAAATAATGTTCTGTCTATCTACTGTAGCAGTGTCCACTTTAGCACATACAGTGGAGTACCAGCAGGGGGCAGCACAGACCCTAAAACAGGCCCGCAGCTGTTTGGTGGTGCTCTTTCATGAGAATCATGAAACAAAGTTCATACAAAAACATATAGGTGCAGGAAGCTTCCATTACTTGTTAGCTACACTAGCCTTGCACTTCCAGCTACAACTAAAGAGGCAAACGAGTCTTGGCTGATCAGCTACCTGTAAGGGTTCGAGGGGAAACTGTGAATTCAATTTTCACCAAACTATCGTTTTAACACAACTTCTCAGAAGGCCCTGTTTCCAGGCCGTAGGGTCATGTCCTATACGGCTCTGTCCCAAGAGCACCCTGGTGGGATAAGCCACAGATGCCTCTGTGATGTTATTAGAAGAGCGTAATGCGGCCGGGGGGATGAGAGCACTCTCGGGGGTTTAGGATCAGGCCTGATTGACCAGTGAGAGGACAGAAATTACAGCAATCTCCACTCAGGCGAGTAAAAAAAAACCTCCTTCCCAATCCGAACAGGTTGCCACAGCGAGACGTAAACAAAAACCCATTTAGTGAATGACTTTCTATTTTAGACTCACGTGGAGTGACTCTTAAAAGCTCCTGCTCACAAAGACTAAAAACAACCACCATTTAATCAGGAAAATCTGACTTAATGGCAGATTTCATTGTCCGAATATGTGGGCGTGGTTCAGTTAAACAGGTAGCCAGACTGTCCAGACACAGATTCTGAAACCACTGACATCCTGAAGGCTGATTTTCTTTGAAACAGCACTGCACTCGCTGGAAAAGCCTGAGAAATCCGCAGCACAGCAGCTTGAACAATGGGAACATTTCTAGTGAATCTCCCTCTAATTCCTAAAGCCTGTGCCACAAATCCCAGCTGCTGCCAGCTAAGCTGATTTACTGTGATAGTGCCTTAAAGGGCCCATAACATTGAAAACGACTTTTCCTCACTTTTTAAAAAATAAAACAGGTATTATATTATATTAACATGTACATATAAACATTGTACAATCTTCAAAACGCATCCATACAGCCCATACATGGAAACTAAGCCTCCCGTTTTGATTTGACTGTTTTTGTGATGTCACAAAAAGCAATGCATTTGCATATATCCACCTATTCAGCCTGCAGCAGTTTAGCCCCTCCCATTCACACTGAAATCAGAGGGAGAGTCTCAGCACAAACTGCTCTATGAATGAGGGGAAAATTCAGTGCAGCCAATCAGAACAGAGCTCATTTACATAATGTCTTAAAGGCACAGCAAGAAAAACAGCTTGTTTAATTCTAAGGGGTGGAGAATTTGGAAAATGGTCATGTAAAAACTATGACTGTTTTGATGGAACATAAACTCTTATATACATCATAAGTGGACAAAATAAAACACCAGAAAAATGTAAGATATGGACCCTTTAACAACACGATGTTCAATTTAAGATATATATATATATATATATATATATATACACTTGGATGTAAGGTCTAGAAAAAAATCTTTAATTGGTTCATTAAGTTCTTCACACTCAAATCTAACATACAACAGTGGTTCTAAGGTTCTTTATGGGAACCAAAAGTGTCTCTGCTATGCTATCGCTCTAAAGCATCTTCATTTTCTACCAAAAAAATGAGAATAACTGACATAAAAGCATAAATGCGAGCTCCAAAGCTTATCTGAGAAATGACATCTTCTGATTTATGACCACGTCTAACCAGAAGAGTCACAATATCAAAATGTAAGCAAAACTTGAAGCATCATTTACTGGATTTGTGCAGATGCTGCCATAAATCTACGCGCTAACCCAGCCCAGACAACGCCAGTGGTATTTATCAGATGAAGAAGGAAAGACAAACATAAACCTCATTCATTTTCTGCCGTGCCGTACAGAGAGTGGCCTCTAGGTGGCGATACAGACCAGCTTTATTACCGGACACTCCCTTTCTCTGAACGCCACCATCTCTGAGACGTGAAGTGGTGTCACATATTCAGCTACAAATGCAGATATAAATGCTGATCTGGGATCATTTTTTGCCTTTTGCATGTTAATGAATGGGAGTGAGTGGACGAGCGAAATGCTGCCGAACCCAGATCAGTGTTACTCACCGAGCCAACTCCGGTTCAGATACACCGACACGAACACTGGTGGCACAGTGAAGAAATCCACCACCGAATTCACCTCCAGCCAGAACCACAGCTTGTCATTAGCTGCAATGAACTGAGAGAGAGAGAGAGAGAGAGAGAGAGAGAGACAGAGAGATAAAGCACCTTGTAAGTAATGAAGTAAAAACATATTGTTCAGCGTATGTTGTTACATCTGTACATACTGTAAGGGTACAATTAACACACTGTTCAGCCTGTATACACTGTATTTGGTACATACAGCTAAACGCCAGCAGCCTTTCTGTTTTAATTATTGTTTAGTTATTAATTTATTTAATTTTAATGTCCTGTTAATGTAATGTTCTACTGTACTCTATTTAATTTATTTCCCAGTTATAACGCCTGTGTTTATGAGAGTAAATTCGCTATGATTTCTTACTTGGCTGATAAATAAACAATTTCAATTCTGATTCTGATTATTCTTCTGTTTCTAATTCTGTTTTTTTATTTTGTTGCTGATTTTGATTTGGTTACTGATTTTGATTTTGTTACTGATATTGATTCTATTCCTGATATTGATTTTGTTGCTGATATTCATTTTGTTGCTGATATTGATTCTGTTGCTGATTTTGATTTTGTTACTGATATTGATTTTGTTTCTGATTTTGATTTTGTTGCTGATTTTGATTTGGTTTCTGATTTTGATTTTGTTACTGATTTCGATTCTGTTTCTGATTTTGATTTGGTTACTGATATTGATTCTGTTGCTGATTTTGATTTGGTTACTGATATTGATTCAGTTTCTGATTTGATATATTTATTCTAATTCTGTTTCTGATTCCAACTGTGATTCTGTTTACTATGTGTGTCTTAATGTGAGCGACTGCCGAGAGAGACTCCTTATAAGTGATTTATTGGCCAATAAAGCAATTCTAACTCTGATTCTGACTCTGTTTTTGAATCCTGATCCTGTTTCTGATTTTGATTCAGATATTGATTATATTCTAATTCTGATTCTGTTTCTGATTCTATGTCTGATTCAGATTTTGTTTCCATTTTTGCTTCTAATTATGTTTCTGATTCAGATTCCAATCCTGATTTTGTTTCTGATTCTGTTTAAGTTTCTAGTTATGTTTCTGATTCAGATTCTAAATCTGTTCTGGATTCTGATTCTGACTTTGTTTCTGATTCTAATGCTGTTTTAGTTTCTAATTATGTGTCTGATTCAGATTTCGATTCCATTTTTGTTTCTGATTTTGTTTTAGTTCCTAATTATGTTTGTGATTCAGTTTTCAATTCCGTTTTTGTTTCCGATTCTGATTCTTGATTCTATGTTAGTTTCTAATCACGTGTCTAATTTCAATTCTGTTTCCGATACTGTTTTAGTTTCTAATTATGTTTTTGATTCAGATTCTGTGGTAGTTTCTAATTACATGCCTGATTCAGATTCTATTTCCACTTTCGTTTATGATTCTGTTTTAATTTCTAATTATGTTTCTGATTCAGATTCTGATTCCATTTTTGTTTCTGATTCTCTTTTATTTTCTACTTATGTTTCTGATTCAGATTCTGATTCTGTTTTAGTTTCTATTTATTCTTCTGACTCAGTTTTTGAATCTTATGTTTCTGGTTCCTCTCTGCTGTACATTGTCCACTGTGTAAACATCCTATACTTACTCGCAGACCGAAGTAGAGCAGGAAGAACACATTGAACGCCATGTCGATCTGCAACGTGATGTCCTTGTCGAAATTCTGACAAGATTCTATAGGACTGTTCAAAGAAAAAGTCAAGAAAAGAGATTCAGTGAGCAAAAACAACGAGGCTGTATGTCTGGTGGAAAACATGAGTCTGTAAAGACTAAACTGTAAAAAACTGGACAGAAAAAGAAAACAAAAGGGAAGAACTTAGTCATGCATTTAATCCAGGCAAATACTGCACGTTTTAGCATAACAAGTTAACCCTTAAGTGACTGCATCCAAAAAACCAACGTGTTAAATGGGCCCATATTTATTTTTCAACACTGTATTTTAAGAAATACCACATTAACTACATAAAATTAACGAGGAATTAACCAATAGGACTCAATGAAATTAAAGACACACCGAAACACAGTAAATCCTGAAACACTTCCTTGCTAACGTTTCTGTTGCTCCATGTGTGAAACTGTCCTGTTAGTCATGCTAAAGCGGTGGACGGGTGCTGGGGCAGTAGGTTAAGGGTTAACAGCATGCAGGGAGTGCAGTGTCCTCCATGCTATCTAACAGCCATTAAATCTGCACTGTCATCCAAATTCAACAGAATTCTAACAGAAAAGACTCAAATCTTCCAAGAATTGAGCTGAATTGAAGAATTTAATTCAACTGAACATCTCAAATCACCTCAAAATCTCACCAAGCTTGCACAAAAAGCAGGATTATCCCATCCCAAAGAACAGAGTCATCAAATTAACAATGTTAAGAGGTACACTAAGTAAAATTTCGTGAAAAAATATATATTTCATGTCAATCATTTCACAAAAATAATGGGTAAAATGGAAAGACAATATTTTAATACAATGGTTTTCAAATTAATGATTCATCAGAGTTCACTGTTCGCTGTTTCAAGGCCAGACAATCAATAAGTCATGAAAGACCTCTGAACTCGCTCATATAAGGAATTCCTGGGCTGAGCTTTTTCTCGCTCTCGATGGGAAAAGATGCTGTTTTTGAAAATCGCTGCTGTGGACAACAAAGTCCCGAAGCCGATACGTTTTGTCCTACATACATCTGGATCCTCTCAAATATGAGGCCCATAAAGGAGAATCCCACCAGTTTTTCAACACATTTGTATAATTCAGTGGTTAAGATGTAAACAGAGTCGTTCAGAGTGGTTTGGTGTGAAACGCTCTGTTCTAGACAAACTTACTGAGTCAGAACTGTTCACAGTGGTGGTGATAGGAACCAGACGTCCACCTCTAAAAGCTCCCTCACAGAAAGTTACTACATGTAATGGTTATGAATTCACTGCCTGATTGTTTTATGGTTTTGGCTTAAAACATATTTTTTTAAAATCCATTCAAGTTGTATGCAAACGTTTGAACACCCCAGTCAAATATCAGGCTGCTGTTGATTTTCTAAGTGAAAATAAGTGAACACAACTCTTCTCCACAGAGAACACAATTAAATATCACATTTTTCTGCAAGTTTTAGCGCATAATTTCTATTTATTTGCTGAGTTTATATTCCAAAAAAATACACATAAAGTATAAATTAACTTCATTTTTTTATATATTTTTCCCCAATCTGTTAAATTCAGAAAATAATTAGTAACTGTGTATTAAAATGTACAGAAGTGTGTGTCTGTAGAGGATGTGTCACTTATTTTCACTTAGAAAATCAACAAAACATGGAATTTGACCAGAAGCCCAAACTATTATATACTATATACTATTATGTATTATATCCCCACAGAAAACATTTTTTTTCTCAGATTGAAATATGACGCACGCTAACACTACTGCGCACTGAACTGACATCATAAGACTGACCTCACTAAAATACCCCACACAAACCAGCAGGCTCTGTCCACAGTGGTAATTTAGAGGCTTGGGCAGGTCTAGGCTGCAGTTTAGTAGCTGTTATTGCCTATAATATGTGTAAATATAACAGACCATGAAATATAATCACTGCTGTCAGAAGAAAATCTCGCATCTCCAAAATGGTAACTTTACAGGAGAAGGAAAAAAAATACGGTAGCGTCACCTTTGTAAGCATCTATAAACACATTCATAACATGTTATAATGCATTCATAAGACATTATAAACATAGCTATAAATATTTATAAAAATGCATTATACGTTATAGCCATGTTTATTATGCATTATAAATTGTTAACATGATACATTATAAGTACTGATCATAACAAACTGTAAGAGCTCATAAGTCGTATTTGTCCGCTCTAAGTAAAGTGGAGCGTACTGTACTAAAGCCTCCTCCAGTATTTACTGAAGGATTTACTGAAACACTAAAACATTCACAATAAAGCACATTACAGGCTTCAAATGTCAGAGTTTAAACTAGAGCTGCCATCAGTGTTTTACCCAATGTGGGAAAGGTAATGTACACCACCGTTAGCTTGGTATTTGTCTTTACTTTACACTCTCCAAGCTGGGACTGACTTCTTTGGCACTGACATTATAAGATTTTATTAACACTATTTATAATGCATTATATTAACAATTCATAATTATAATAAATTTAATACATTAATACATTATAACATGCTATAAATGTGTTTATAGTTGCTTACAAATGCGACATTCATAGAAAGTGTTACCAAAAATACTTTACTTTTAATGTAAGTCAATGGAACCAGACTTTTCTCCAAGCAATTTTGGGCCATTTCTTTTGGTCCATTCATCATGAAATTTACATACAATGTAAAGGGTGACAGGTATTTTCAAATTATGTCAAAAATTGAAAATGGAGATACAAGGTTAATATGGTGTTGCATATACAATAACAATAGTGCAGATAATCCTAGTCTAATTCAAAGCGCAGGAGTGTCAAGCTTCTTGTATGCAGCATTATTATTATTCTGAGTGCTAAATGAGCTCGTCATTCAGAGGACCCAGTGACACAAAAAGGGACAATTTTCATTCATTTCCATTCATTTTCCCTTAAATAAAACCCAGAGTTCCTTATATGAGCGTGCCACAGAATGACCACCTGACCTCAGAGGGCTGTATCTCATATCTCTGGCTAAAACACATTACTTAGTGCACCTTCAAGTAAAGTGACTGAGTTCACAGGCAGCGACGTGCTTCATGACATCTTCTTTGCTGAGACAAACAAATATACTCGTATAATACCTATATCAGGATGACCAGAGCATTCTGGACCACTGTGCACGAGAAATACAACAGATAACATACAGATACAGAAAGCGGTTAACAGATTGAATTGTTTCGCAATTAGGGTGCAATCTGACCCCGCAGCGTGACATGCTGTTTGCTTTTGTCCTGATGACTGATTGGTCCCCTGTGAACAGACGGTACACTGTGTATTGCTGGACACACGACTGGTGCCAATGTAAACATCCCAACAGGCTCAAATACCCGCAGCTCTTCCCCTCAGCAGAGCTGGACTGGAATAAATAATGCATGTCTATCTGAACTGGGGTCCTCTTAGCAGGCCACTCTCCTCTATTAGAACATGTGTGGTGCGCTACATGTGGGCTGAACAGCTAAACCAAAACTTTGGCGAGTGAAATCATCTTTAATCCAGTCGATATATCATGTGTTTGCTACTCTGAGACTGTTGTATAAAAAAATGATACGATTTCTACACGTTTTATTTTTTTATATGATAATATAATTTTATCTAGTGAAATTATCTTAATTTATTGGCAGATAATTTTGCTTGTTTTAAGAAGTAATGCAGGTAATTTAGCTTCTCCCTGATAAAAGCACAAGCCGAAACGTGTTGAGAGGCTTTTTTGTCCACAGCCATATTATACTATAATAAAGGCTTTTATTTAATAAAGCGACAGTTTTTAACTTTTTTCTCTAGAATTTGAACTCCTGGCCACAGAGCACCTCCAATTCGACATGTTTATTTCCCCACCAGCAGCCTTCTCTGTTTCATTTAGCTAAAGACAAGTTTGCTTGTTTTTAGATATTCATGCTTGTTTGAAAATGTTTTAAATATATTTTTGCTATTATTATTTTGTTTTTGAAATAATGCAGATATTTTATTTATTTTTAGAAATAATGCAGATATTTTATTTATTTTGAGAAAAAATTACAGATATTTTACTTGTTTTTGGAAATAATGCAGATATTTTATTTATTTTTAGAAATAATGCAGATATTTTATTTATTTTTAGAAATGATTACAGATATTTTACTTGTTTTTGGAAATAATGCAGATATTTCATTTATTTTTAGAAATAATGCAGATATTTTATTTATTCTGAGAAAAAATTACAGATATTTTACTTGTTTTTAGAAATAATGCAGATATTTTATTTATTTTTAGAAATGATTACAGATATTTTACTTGTTTTTGGAAATAATGCAGATATTTTATTTATTTTTAGAAATAATGCAGATATTTTACTTGTTTTTGAGAAAAAATTACAGATATTTTACTTGTTTTTAGAAATAATGCAGATATTTCATTTATTTTTAGAAATAATGCAGATATTTTATTTATTTTGAGAAAAAATTACAGATATTTTACTTGTTTTTGGAAATAATGCAGATATTTCGCTTGTTTTAAGAAATAATATAAAATAAGTAATGTACATTTTTATGTTATTTTTTACTTTTAGTATTATATATATTGTCTATAAAGTAACAAGTAACTGTAAAACTCTTAAGTAATTCATGAGGTTAATTACTTGCTGGTTAATGCTGGTTAATCTTAATGCAGATACTTTGCCTGTTTTTAGAAATAATGCAGACATTTTGTTTATTTTTAGAAATAATGTAGATATTCTGCTTGTTTCTTAGAAATAATGTTGATTTTTTATGAGAATAAGGAAATAATTTTGAAACTGAAACAAGTAAAAGTATCTGTCCGTTAAACAGGAAAACTTCACTGGATATATTTACTTAAAACAAGACAAACTGTCTAAGATAGTTAGCTGTATCTGCTGTAACAGCACCACAAGCCTCCTGTGTATCATCCTCACACTGGACTGAATGAGTCTCAGAAACGACTGCAGTGCATTAAACAGTAAAGGCAGCGTGGAGCTTCTTTTACACAGCGATAGGAAACACAGCCGC